GATGAGAAAATCAGGTTTATGTTTTTTCGATGTTTCAAGTCGAAGGAGACTAAATTTGAAACAAGGGGTCCCATTGATCACGTGATCGATTTTTAAAGATTTTTGAATACCTTCAGGTCCCTTAATGATACTTGGTGATATTTAAATTTAACCCCTTTCTCCAAGATACATTACGAGTATTTTAGTACCTAGAAACAACTTTAACATATGGAATTTTTAAAATTTGAAATTTTTGTTCAAAGTCATCAGGTAAATTTATCAGGTAAAATACTAGTGGTGTATGGCATCGTGCCTTACGGCAAATTGCTGAAACTTCCCGTACCGTAATGAAATATTCGAGAAATTTTAAACGTTTTCAAATATATTTTTACAAATACTGTAACTTTCATTATTTTTGCTATCTTGTTTGTTATATCTGAGCAAATCAAATGTAAATCATAAATAAATCAATTTATCTCTAGAACATTAACAATCGTCATTTCATTTCGAATTCAATTTTAAAAAAAAATAGTTGGCTAATTTACACAAAATTGAAAAAGTGCTCCCACATAGTCACAGTCCAAACTTGCATTTGCAAATAATTCTATGCGACATTTTCACTTATACTGTGCTTAGCTTGGCGACATTTTTACATTTTTTCAATAGTTTTCACAAAATTAAAAAAGTGCTCTAAACAGTCTAAACGCACTTGGGTGATCATTTGTACCAGAGTGGCGCTTAGACTGTGCTTAGCCTGGGTGATTTTTTGATTAAAATTTTTAATCGAAAATTACAAAAATATTTTATGGAAAATAAAAAAAGATGTAATATTTTTTATCCTCCAAAGCAATTGTTTTGTCAATACGAACAGAAAGTTTTTTAGATCATTCAAATCGGACGCTTAGGTCAATCAAAAACTGCAATTTTTTGCACCTTTAGCTCTGTATCTTCGAAATGGCGGGACCTGTCTTTGCCAAAAACTAATCACCCCTTCTCCCAATCATTACAAATTGAACGTTTTTTTAGATCATTCAAATCCGATACTAAGTTCTCTCAAAAACTACTCAGCACATCTCCCTATCAATAGAAATCGAATGTTTTTTGAACCATTCAAATCGGTTGATCGGCGCGCCCGAAAACGTGGACGAAAAAATGCGGACACACAAAACACACACACAAACACATCCATTTTTTCTGATGTATGCCAAAACGTCGAGAAATGCAAAAATTTTCTTGTTCGATTTTTGGCCCATTACTATAACTACCCTACGGGAAGTTAATAATATAGCATATACAAGAATAATGAAGTCCTGCTAAAAATTACTTATTCTGATTCAAATAAAACATTATAGTCAACAAAAAAAAAAGATTTTATATCATATTTAAGATATTCAGTTCAGTAAAATGTTTCGTGAAAGTTTTTAATGAAATTTAACATGGCAAAAAAGTTTATGCATAATCCTACAATAATTGGTTGAATTATTTAAATTCATTAAAATTCGGAATAATAAGCTATAATTTTAGGACATACAAGAACGTTTCTGGGCACTGTAATTAATATAATTACAGATAATTTAAAGGTGTTCAAAAGATATAAATTGCAAATTGTATTGTTTAAATTTAAGTCAAAGCAAAAAAATGTATCTTCAATATAAACAGTTAAAAATTGTATCTAATTATTTAAATCCCAATTTCCATTTATTATATCAATTATTAATAATTTACTTACTTTGTCGGCTTTGTTCAAGTGCAGTCTCTAATTGTTTTTGCTCGTGCTCCCGAGCGCTCTTATCTAACATTTCCTGGTCGTCGACACCTCCAGACAACCTTGCGCAGTCTGGTAATTCAGACTCCGCTAAGAATGGAGTTTCTGTACCAGTCGTTCCGATTTGTAAAACGTTTCTTTTTAGATCGATTGTACACTGAAATAAGAAAAATGGATAATGAATTAATAACCAAGAGAAACATGTAATAAATAATGCTATAAGTTTATTCGTTTAATCTGTTGAATCGGAAATAAATTAGGGTGACCATATTTTTTTAAATCAAAACCGGGACGGTAATTTTGAGTTAGTGCAACAAAACTAATTTTTTTTAAAATAACAACCACTATTTTAGAATGCAATAAAAATCAATTTGTTTTAAATGAATACTGAACAGAAGTACTGTACAGAAGTACTGACTTTTAGTAAGAACTTATCGTTGGATTACAAGTTATATTATATTCTATAAGAGCGAAAATTCAGTCTAGACTTTCTCTACACTTTTTAAAAACCCGGGACAATTCGGGACAAAAGATCTAAATCCGGGACAAATAATGGTTCTAAAAAAACTGGGAAAAAAGGTGTAAATCCGGAACTGTCCCGGCCAAATCGGGACGTATGGTCAACTTATATAAATTAAAATAAATTTGTTTAACAATTTAAATTGTACTGAATAATTAAACTTGACATACAAGTATTTTTTCATGAATCATCCATATATATAACTAGTGGCGCATGGCATCGTGCCTTAAGGCAAATTGCTGGAACTTCTCGTACCAAAAAATTCTTTCTTTTTTTTTTAAAGATTCAGTGTTCTTTTAGAACTGTAAAAAAATCGATTCTTGAGATTTTTAAAATTTTTGAAATTGACCTTTTTAAAAAAAATTTTTTTTTTTTATTCTGTGAAATATTTTGGAAATTTTGAACTTATTTTCAAAGCATTCGCGACACGTTAACTGCATAGAAACGAAATATCGAAGCGCGTGGGCGTCGCATAGCAGTATAACGAATATGCATTGGTAGGAAACCCATAAAAAAGTAAACAAAATTTATTACTATTAAAATATCTATGAAATATGTGATAATTTGATGTGCATATGTCTAATGATCATTTTTGAGGCATTTTTTGACACTTTTTTAATGAATCTCTGAAACCGCTAGATAGATCTGCCTTACCAAAAATTTCATAAGTTATTCATTTCATCGATACAAGTAAAATGTTTTTTGAATTATTCAAATCGGACGCTCCGTTCTCTCAAAAAATGACCATTACCATTTATGATTCTTTTGCCGTATCTCCGAAACGGCAAGACCTGCCTTCGCCAAAAAACTAATCAGCACGTCTCCTTATCAATACAAATCGAATGTTTTTTAAATTATTCAAATCGATTGACCCTTATTACCGAAATCGTCAATGAAAATTTGTATCCGCACTCACACGCCATTTTTTCTAAGGTATGCCAAAATGTTCAGAAACCTTTGAAACGTAAAGACTTATAAAAATTTTCATTTTCGATTAATATTTATATATAATCGAAATTACTAAACTATAAAATAAGTTACAATAATAAAATAGCCAAAATATTTCTATAAAATGAAAATCATTGTCACAACTGACAAAATTTTTCGTATTTTCGTTTTGCCATCAACATTTTTCAGCCTAAAACTCGAATTTTGCTCGTATGTCGAAGCAACGAATCGCTCTTTTGGCGGCTCTTATCTCGAAACGCTCGTATTACGGGTTATTCAAAAAAATTATTAATCTTAAATGTTAATGAATGAACAATTAAATTTCAATTACAAATTGAACTTGGTATGAAGATGTTTGAAAAATCAAATCTAATAATTGACTGCCATAATGTAAAAAGCAAGTTATGTACTTATAAATTAATATTAAAATACAAGTAGAATGCTAAAATGCTGTTTTTTTGGTCATATTTTTTTTATCTCACCTGATGTCTTTTCAGCATGTCAAGTCCTAACAACATATCCATAGGCTGCTCTTCCAAAACTGAAAATGATGTCGTTAAGAAATCACTTTCGATTTGGATTTGCACCATGTGTATGCGTCCAATGATTTTCTGAATTCCTACACCTTTTGCTATACCTGCCCACCTGTAAAAAATAAGAATAACATTGTAATTATTTGCATTGAAGAGCTGTGAAATTATAAATGTAGAAAACTATTAAGAGGTATTATAATGTAAAGGCATCAAATCTTTTATTGTCATTTTTTTAAAATTTATTCATTAACATTACAAGAGTACAGAAAAAAAGTACAGACAAAAAAATAATAATTTTAAAAACTAACATTTGTTGAAGTTGGAGGGTTAAAAATAATTGGCATGTCATGGTGTCCACAATTACAACCTTTTAGTAAATGGAAAAAAAAGGTTATTAATCTATAATGATGTCGCAATGGCATATACTAAGATTAAGTTAAAAAATAATCTTAACAAAGCCCATTTTTTTCCACTTTTTTGACTTCCTCAAATTTTTAAACATAGTAAAAATTGGAATTTGAAGATGAGACTAGTATATGCTTGAGAGAGTAAATTGGTTCAGTAGCACTCGAGCAAACGTGGGCATAGTATTGAAAAAAAAAGAATTTTGAGAAAAACGCGTTTGAAGTTCCGAAAAAGGAAGAAAACAGAAGTGAATTATCATGGTCAAACAGCTGTATCTTCAAAAATAATTTACAATTTTAAAAATCCTCTCATACACATATTTTTAAATAGCTAAACTTTGAAAACATGACAAAAAAATATGATTTTTTTGAATTTCTATACTAAAATAACCCCGTTAACAGTATAAATATTATTAAAGTTAAAGTTACTATGAAGGTTACCTGTTATCAACTAATCTCATTATATTACACCTTTCTGCACAAGATGCAGACATAATTGTTGTTTGAGCCCCTGAGTCAATAAATGCTTTCACTGGAAATCCATTTACATGGCAATTAATATACCTGTAAAAAATAATAACACATTAATTTCAAAACATCCACTAATTTCATTTCTATTAACTTTTTTCCAAGTTTTAATTTAATTATCTTTTCTACTCACAGCATAACAACTGTTCCGAAAGTCTCTGGATTATATTCCATCGCTGCTTCCATATTAGCTTCTATGTTTTTCTGTCGAATCTCTTCGGCAATCAGTCTTTGAGCCTCTGTATCAAAAGGACTAGCATTCATCATTCGTAAGCGTTGCTGTTGCCTTTCGGCTCTGGCTGCAACTTGCTCACGAAGGACATTGGCAAAAGTATCTGGTAAAGGATACATAGATTCATAAAAATTTTATATATATATATATATATATATATATATATATATATCAAGGCCGGTCCTACCTTTAATGCCATGCATGCAAAAAATGTGCGCGCACGCTTTAGGGGGCGCCAAAACGAGATTCGCAAATGAAATTTTCAATATAGTTTTTTTTTCAATATAATTCAAGAAACGTATAATTTCTTTGCATTTTTCACTAGCAATATTTAAGATGCAATTTTGGATATTTTAAATAATAAAAAATTACAATAAAATAATCCAACATAAAGCAGCATGATTTGTTTAATAGAATAAATCACATAAAATCTCCAAAATAAATAAGTAAAATTTTTCAAAAATATTATTTCAAGCAATAATAAACATATTGAAATGTTTGGATGTCCTAAAAAGTTTGGATTAAAAATAAGAATTTAGAAGTAGTTTGGTAGTGATTATGAAAAGCCCGCAAATCGCCACGATATTCTAAGTAAATTTAAAATCAATGTTCTTTTATATTTTATATCAAATTTTTTGTGTACTAAATCCAGAGTTATTAAAAAGTATTTAAAAAAAATAACGTAAATATTCTTATAATTTTAATGATAAACCTAAAACTGTAATATATATATATATATATATATATATATATATAATATTTTACCTAAATTTCCACTAAGCAAGGCGTCCGCCAAGCGTGGATTATTTTGTTTGAGTAAAGCCAGTTGATCAGGATTTGCTAAAAACATGTCCCGAATCATCCCGGGGTCATCTTCAGGTGCGACACTGATAGGAGGGTTTCTGCTACCTGAATTTCCTTGTTGAGAGCTGTTGTGATTTGCAGCTGCTCTCGGCAAAGATGATCCTGGTATTTGGATGGAGCTGAAGTCGAAATTAGGCAATTCTAGAAAAGATTAGTCGAATTTAGGTAATTCTATATTAAGTTATGAGTATGAGACACTTATTGTATTATTATTACCTGGTCCCCCTTGTAAAAGTGTTGAAGAAGATGTATGCAGCATGTGTTGCAAAATAACGACATCTCCATCCCTTATCCCATGATCTTTCAGAGACTTTTTATCATCCATCAAAGGCCTTCCATTAAATGCAATTACGATCTCGGGAGCAGGAAAACCTGACTCCACTTCACAAAATGCTTTAAAATTTTCAAGTTCCAAATCTTCGGATACATCTAAAACAAATATATCGTCCGACAGTGTTGTAACTGTAATTTTCATTATTAGATCTAATGGATTAGTAAAGTGGTAAAAGACACTTAGTATTTAAAAAATGCAACGTCAAGCTAATATTATTTTCGACTTGTTTACAACGCTTTTGTCTGAGTTTGAGATATAATTAGAACACAGCATGACAGTTAGATATCAGCATAAAAACTGCCATTTTGTTAAAGATGGACGATTTGTGTTTACAAAATTGACAAGCAAATATACTCACAAAAATGATAAAAAATATTATAAAAAAACTTTAAAACCACCCCGAATTGCAACCTAAACAATATTAACAATACTTAACATCATTTATTGAAGTCTGGAAAATATTTAATTTGTGTTTAAATTTCGCGCGCACACACTTGAAGTTAACAGTGACACCTGGCAACACCATTAGTCATTTTCTAAATATTTTGACAAGTGACAGATAACCTGGTGACGCAGTTTTTACACAATTTATTATTAATTATTAAATAATTAAAGGTAATTAACAAATTAAGTACAAGATTACCAAAATAAAATAATTGATTGTCATTCTGGGGAGTTCTGGTACATTTCATATATTTATGTGAATAATTATTGTAAAATTTGTTTAGTTTCAGGGTTACAAATTTTAATATAGATTATTATAGAGTTTTTGTAAATAAAGACTAATATTAATGCCTAGTTAATTCTTTTTATAACTACATAAACATATGAATTATAATATTGAGTAACACTTAAACACCTTCATTTAACATTTGTATTACCAAGTTCCAAATTTGTTTCATCTAACAAAATTTTTTATTACCTTTATATTTCTATTATCCTTCTAGTTTATCTATTTCCTTTACCATGGAGTGGTTATTCGGGCACAGGATGACCCCTGATGAGATGCTCAGGAAGAATCAGCGTGCCCTAAACAAAGCGATTCGTGAATTAGACCGTGAAAGAATGCGCATGGAACAACAAGAAAAAAAAGTAATAGCAGACATCAAAAAATTAGCCAAAGACGGCCAAATGGACGCTGTAAAAATCATGGCAAAAGATTTAATACGTACAAGACGTTACATTAAAAAATTCATGATAATGAAAGCAAATATTCAAGCGGTTTCCTTAAAAATACAAACTTTAAAATCCCAAAACACGATGGCTCAAGCCATGAAAGGCGTTACAAAAGCCATGCAGAATATGAATAAGCAATTAAATATGCCGCAGATACAGAAAATTCTGCATGAGTTTGAAAAACAATCAGAAATTATGGATATGAAAGAAGAGATGATTAATGATTCGATTGATGATGCTATGGAGGAAGATGATGATGAGGAGGAGTCTGATGCTATTGTTTCTCAAGTTTTGGATGAATTAGGTTTACAATTGAATGATACTTTGTCAGGGCTGCCGCAGGCTTCTGGTTCTTTAGCTGCTTCAGGTAAAAAAACCTGAAAATGCATTAATTGATTAATTAATATTAATTAATTGATTATTTTATATTTATTAATTTATTATTTCTAGGTATGAAACAACCTGTAGCGACAGCTGTTGGTGGCGGTGGTGGCTCCGGACCAAAATCAACAGGTAGTGGAGGAGGTGCTCCAGTTTCTGATGCCGATGCTGATCTGCAAGCTAGACTTGATAATCTGCGTCGTGAATAATGTTAAATTAAGTTAGTTTTATTGTTTAATCAACGCACCACAGCACAAACTGCAGAAGAAAGAATATTGTTTTATATAAGCTTTATTAATTCATTAGCTTTTGAAAAAAGATTTGGTTGTTTATTTAATTTACCTGTACTGCAGTTTTTGCAACGCTTTTACAGCTATTTATCACACCAATTAAGTTTATTTATAAACTTAAAGACAGGTGTGAGGTTGTTTTAAATATTTTTATGAAAATTTTATATAAGCTTCTATATATACAGAATGTGATTATTATAAAATGTATTATAATATAAATTTAGGCATATTTGCAGCACTAATATGAAATAAATATTGAAGTTATTATAAAATGCCTTTTAATTATTAATAATACAACATAAGGCTGAAATTGATGAGATTCCTTTATGGAATAAAAATAAAATTCTACTTTATTCCTTTGTATTTAGTTAAATTTACACTTATCACACATTTACTAAGAATTTTCATTGTTTATTGTTCTCCTTTGTATTCTTGCAAATGGAGGAGCACCCAAGCGGGGATGGCCAAGCAACCGACTGTGATGACGGCTCCATGGACAATTTTCTCCTAAAAAATAAAACATATATTAAGGAATAATATAAAATTAACCAACAACAATAACAAATTATTAGCATAATGTGAAATAAGTAAGAAAATCTTGCTACAACCAGAAAAAAAGTAATAATAGACAAAAAAATTAGCAAAAGATGACTAAATGGATGCTGTAAAAATCATGGTAAAAGATTTAATACGTACAAGGCGTTACATTTAAAAATTCATGATAATAAAAGCAAATATTCCAACGGTTTTATTAAAAATTCAATGCTCACAATAAGTAATACTTCATTATGATAATGAAATTTTTAATTTCTAATAATTTAATTCAGTTAATAAGTATGACTTGTTTAAAAATAATAGCATGTTCTTTGAATTTTTAGAACTTAATTCCTCATTTTGTACTAGTGCTTTGTTTTGTATAAAACTGATTCTCATAACACGGTAGAATTTTTTGGAATATAACTACAATGTGATACCTCTTCACAAATTAAAATTAACAAATACATAATAATAAAAGTTACAAATCTAATTATCAGCGGTGAATCCTTAACCAGAATGAAGATATAACTATTTATGTGGTGAAAGTTCTCCAAAATATGATCAAAATTAAAATATTTTGACATTAATTGTAATATAATAGTCATAGGTTATGTATTAACAAGTTATGTAACAATGTATAAAACTATTAAAAAAACAAAATAAAAGTAAAATATATTATTTTTACTTACAGCAGTAGAAATCTTAGTCCTTGGGGGCCCTGATACTACTGGATAAGCATCATTGAAGTTCCTGGTCTGTTGCAAAAGAGTTCTGACCACTGGGGACGACTTTGTGATGGCGCGGACTCCAATCATTTTAATAATCTAAAACAACATATTAATAAATAAAAAATTACGGTAATCGACATGTGCAATGCAATTTATTAATTACTGACCTGGTTTTTGTATTATTTGTGAAAACCGAATGATAAGTAGTCTTTTCTTGACGACTGTCAGACAGGTAAAATTATACGGTGTGAAGTTGGTTGCAAAAGTATTGCCAAGGGCGAACTTCGTGTTGAAGTTTGGAGGCGGGTAATTTAAATTTGAAATTGAAATACAAAAAAGACGCAAAAAATGGTAATCAACATATATTACAATGCAATTCAGAATTTATACTATTATAATGATATGTATAATTAGAATTATATTAATTTGAAATGTAATATATCACAATATATTAGGTTGTCAAATATCTCCCTTCCGCTTTTTTGCTCTCGATTTATAATACAAAAAGGCGGAAGGGAGATATTTGACAACCTTATATAATTAAAATATAATGTTTTACAAGACAAATTATAATTTGTAATATTTTGTATCACTTTGTTTATAATATTAATTATCAATATTGGTTTATATTTTTAGTTATTATTGTATTGTTTATCCAATATTTTAATTTTGTTTATTGCCTTATATTTCATAAATATTTTTCATATATAAATTGTTTTATCAAATTTGTTATTATAAATTGTACGTTAAGTTTCACTTTCTATTATGAAAATCTTGAATTGATTGTTTTTGTGACTTTTTATATTAATATATTTATATATAAGTCACTATATTTCCTAGTCTAAATAAAATATTTTATCAATATCAACCTATAGGTCAAAATTTTATTTAACTGTCTTGTATTTATCATCTATGATTTTAATTTTATTTTTAATAAGTTGTCCCCAATAAATTCCTATAGGTAACATTCATAAACAGTTGAGTGGCTGTATCAATAGGAGAAATCATCATTGGAATCATTGCCAAGCATAAAATTCCAGGTGCCCAACGGAGTCTCAAATATCTCGAAATCAAATAACGAGCCCTGAAATAATAGACACACTATTAATTCATAAAATTAATATAATTTGAAATATATATGTGTATATATATGTTTATGTCTACTTACTCGTGTATAATCGCTCCTGGTAGAAATCCGTTCGCCAAACCATTCCAAAGAAGTACATCCCCGAAAGCAACTAATTTATTGGGCAAACCTTGTTCGTTAACACCCTGAAATAAATAAAATTATATATGATTTATTATGAGTATTTATATGATTTTTCTTACACTTGTCTGATAGGCTTTTTGGTACACGTCCATGCCAATGTAGAAGGACCTCAAATGTCCTGCATGTCGAAGACTTCTATTAAATCTGCAGGGCAGAAGGTCCTCTATACAGCATGCTATCAGAGGAGAATAACCTGCAAAAAATAATAAATAAATAAAATACATATTGTTAGATAAAATATGAGACAAGAAAATAATAAGGTAGTAAAATTTATTAGAGATAAAATCGCTACATTGGATGTCAAGACCTCTAATGACGAGTTATAGGAATAAATGCAGCATCACTAGTATAAAGGAAATTTTTTATCTCTTTTTTCTGTCTAGTTGTATTTTTGAAGACGAACAAATTTAAATGTTTTTTCAATTTACTAAAAATTTTAGAATGCGAGGATTAGCAAATTTAATTACATTCACAAAAAAATGCCAAAGTTTGGGAGCAATTTTGATTGACTTACAGTTTTTGGTTTCAAACTTAGCAAGAAAAAATGTTAAATTTTATCTAAGAAACATGATGTAAATTTTCTAAATATTCAGCAATATTTCCCTAAACTTCTTTTAAATCACTTAAAATTTAATATCTTTATAAAAAATAAAAAAATATTTATATTTAAATATTTTCCAAAAGAATTCGTATACTAAGCACTTTTTCATCAAACATTTTGTCTGTAAACTTTAATAAAAAAACAAATATTTCAATAATTATCATCTTATAATCTTATCAATATTTCATTAATTATCAAACTTGTAAAAAAACTAAAATAAAATTTACCTTTCATATATAATTTTTTTTTTTTAATTATTTTTACTCACCCAAGTACCTCAAAGGAGTGACCCGAGTGTCTGAAGGAAAATCGAACTCGGGTATTTTCATTTTCAAATTTTATTAAAAAAATATAATAAAAAATGTATAAAATTTAATTCAAAATATTTAAATAATTTTGACATATGTCATTAATTTGTTGTTAATAAAAATAAAACACTATTGAAATTAAAAATTCAAGATCATCATAGTATACTTTTGGAGAATAAAATTCAATATTATTTTTAATAATAAACTTTTTTATAATAAACTGTTGGTTGTTACTAATTCTAAATATTTTATCATCGATTGAGTTACTTTAATTTTTTTATATTTAACAAATTATTAAAAAAATAATATGACTTAATTTTATTTTTGTAAGCAATTTAAAAAAAAAAATGTTTCTTTCTAATTATTTCCTTTCAGTTTTAGTTCTTTCCAGTTTTGGTAAATTAGCAAAAATTTTAAAAATTAGAAAATTATAATTAATATCTACATAGAGAAAAATATATATTAATTTTTAGAGTAAGACTCTATAGCGTCTCTGTATATTTTAAAAACCCTAGCAAAAACCACGAACTGTCTTATTTTTAGATAAAATGCAACAATAGAAAATGCATTCATTTGGTATTTCTCAAATAACTTCTAAACTTTCCCGAGAAACTAAATAGTGTCTTTGAGAAATTCGTTCAAAACTAAACAATCTACATTTCCATTAATTCAACAAGTGTTTTTTATGCTCATAGCACAATAATATCAAATTTGATTCTAATATGAATCATAACCGCCTCCATGGCCTTCGTCAAGGTTATTCTCATACTCATATGTAGGTGCGCAAAAGTTGTGTCATTTTTATTTATAAATAAATAAAATGTCAACTAAATAAAATAAAATGTCAAATTGTAACAAATAACAAATGTCATTAAGTGGAACTAAACAAATATTTTAAGTGGAAAAAATATATCCTAACAATTATTTGGTAATAACAATTAAGTGATAAAATAATACAAGCCTTGTAATAAAATGATACAAGCAAAGTGACTTGAAAAATTTACTTTTGATCTGACACAGGTGAGTTAATTTGAAATTATGTTAGTGAACATGAAATAATTAATTTTTTACTTTGCCAAACAAATTTTTCTCTAGTACAAGTTTCAAATTTTAATTTTTGCTGCAACTGCTAATAAACATCCATTAACCACTTCAAGACTTTTTTTTAAAACACGGTGGGTTAAGTTTTAGGCTTTACAAAATATATAAAATATAATAATTACTAAAAACAAATATTTATTTCCATGTCATCACCAAAAATAAATGAATTTCCCCTGATCCGAGTCAGCTATTAATTTTGTCATTTTCCCTGTCAAAAAAATTCCAAAAAAATAAAATTCACGGGCGTTTCGTTTCGCGTTGTCAAATTTATGTAGGATTTCTCGAATAAAAAATTATGCCTACCACCAATTTGGACCTATAGGGAATGTCATTGGACGAAATTCGTGTATTTTGTATATATGCATCCAAATTTTGTTCCAGAGACGCCTCTAATTAGCGATGGGGAAGGACCGTGACTGCCTCAGGAGGTTCCCTTTTCGATTCTTGGGTAAGGATAAAGGATACATGTATCAATACAAAGGATACATTTTCGAATTTCCTTGCTCCCAGGGGCTCAAATGGTTTCAAATTGATAAAACAAAATTCTCTGAAAGTTTTAGCTCTTAATATTAACGTTTAGATAGAGCGCAATTCAATCAAACTTCGTATGGAAATAGCATGAAAAAATTTTCAAACATTTTGCGGAGCGTCGAATTTTCAATAAAAAATGACACGAATTTTCACTTTTAATTCATTTGTCGCTAAGTTATATCCTAAAAAATTTTATTTTATTTTCAAAATTTTTCCCATGCTATTTCCATACGAAGTTAGATTGAATTGCGCTCTATCTAAAAGTTAATATTAAGAGCTAAAACTTTCAGAGAATTGTTTTTTATCAATTCAATCGAAAATGTCCATATTAAGGACCACCCTAATATATATATATATATATATATATATTATATATATATATATTAGGGTGGTCCTTAAAATGGTCTAATATATATATATATATATATATATATATATATATATATATATATATATATTGTATGATTCTGAATTTGATGTTGACATATGTATTATGTCATAATAACGGGCATAACATCAATAAAAAACATGAATTGCTTTCAAAAATTTATTTTAAATCCATACGTTTCGGCTATAATCCTAGCCTTCATTCAGTGGAAACTAAAAATAAAATTAAAAACTAAAGCAATTGAATTGGAGTGGAAAGAAAAAATAAAATAGTAAATAGTGCTTACAATTAGTTAATCTTAGTGTTAAATTGGAAAATTTTTATAATCCATGGTATCAAGATATGGTAATGCACTACACTATGTATTATAAACATTAAAGTTGTAATTACACAATATTTTCACAAAATACTATTTTAAAAAAATCACAATTGGATAGTGTGTTGTTCGTAGACTGGTTGAAGATATAATGGAGAAAGGACATTTTAAATAATATTTTAATTTTAATTTAATTTAATTCACATAAGAGTAAACAAGCCAGAACTTAATGAAACGTTTACAACAACATAAAATATAATTCAAAAAATCCGAAGCAATTTAAAACTATGATTGCGGAGCATATTTTATACTTTAAAACACAATATGGACTTTTCTAACCTGACTGTACTACAATTCGAACAAAATTTATTCAAACGAAGAATTGTAGAAGGATCATTTTTAACTATTTACAACAATAAAACAATAAATAAACGGATTGAACCTAACACCCTGTGCGACACAAATCTCTTTTATTTAGATAGTATTTCCAAATTTATCACGAAAGAATAAAAACGACACGCAAAGGATTCGCAATTCGTTCCACACATGTGTAGAATCTTGGTGAAAAATATTTTTTTAAAAAATCCTTTCTCCATTATATCTTCAACCGGTCTGCGAACAACACATTATCCAATTGTGATTTTTTAAATTAGTATTTTGTGAAAATATTGTGTAATTACAAGTTTTATGTTTATAATACATGTAGTGTAG